ACACCCATACATAACCACACGTAAAATTATAGTTTTGTATACTGGACTAAAATGGCGTCACATCCAAAATTACAGTAATCTTCAGAGTTGTTATGAGAACGTCAAATTGCACAGCTGCGATGTTCGCTTACTGAACTGTTCACTGTGCTCATAAAGCAAAAGGAAAATTGCGAGAAGTTGTACCGCCTCTCGGCCTTAGGGTCGCCAGAGAAACCCCAGAGCTGCGCATGCGTTACAGTGATGTGACGTAATGTGACGTAACCGCTGCCCTCCACTGGGTGACTAAAGTCAACAATTATTTTGCACCACTCACATGTGTCTCTTCTGTAAGTAGCTTCTGTGCTATAAATGCGTTTAAATTTTCATGTTGAGAGCATCTGGAAGAACTATTCCCGTCCTCATAATTTGGCTTTATTTCTCCACTTAATTTCCTAAAAATAGCGGAAAATATTGCTTCCGGCTTCAGGGCCGAAGAGTAAACAAGGTAAAAATCAGCACAAGAAGGCGAAAGGTCATTGGACTTTGCTTTAGGAACATAAGTATCGCTTTACTGCGGTAATTTGAACTGAAGCATACATAACAGTTAAGACACTAAGCATCGCGTCATGAGAACTATGGGGAAGCGGAGGTCGAGCTCCACGCATACATAATATCGGAATTAGATGGAGGTATGAGGCAAGCTTTTACCCGGGGGAAAGAGTCTCTGGATAGAAATTTTGCATTGGAGGTCTGTTAAGCCACACAACCAGTCTGAGTACTGTAAAAGTAAAGCTATCCCTGTAACAGGCCGTGAAAGTCCATAGGGTTGTGAGACGTTGAGGCTCCCACATTATCTAGACAATCGGCTTATAGATGGCGGTAAGGTTGTCAGCCTTACACACCGGTCTCCCTTTACCCCCAGGAAGATCCGCGATACTCATTGCTCTTAGAGGATCAGTCGACCCCGGGAGCATAGTGCGGCTGGAAGGATTAGGTCGATTGAAAAAATCCAGTAACCTCTTCGGGAATCGAACACACGACCTTCCGGCTTGTAGCATAGTGCCTCAACCAACTACGCTACCGCGTGTCCCCTCTGAGTACTGTGGAGAAGAAGAAAACTCTTGCCTCTCCCGAGAATCGAGTCACGACTCCTCGGCTGCCCAGAACAGAGCCAGGTCGGCATGTTTACTGAGCTATCAAGGCTGAGGGTAATTTCGTTCTTGTTATGCGACTTGACTGAGCCTCACGACAGTCGAAAGAGAAAGCGAATTCCTGCGAATTCTGTCGCTCTCCTGCCAATGCCCATCTGAAGTTGCGAGCGATGATAACGGACGCTCTCAGACATCATGAGCGGACTTTCCCTCCTCAGAACGCGGATAAACAGTTAAATTAATAAATTATTTTATTCTCGGTTTGATAACCTCTAGGCCGGTCACAGTGGCCGTCCGGTCTAAGGCACGAACTGTCTTCGTCGGCTCAAACACTGGGGTCATGAATTTGAATCCCACTTGAAGCGTAGATGTGTGTGCAATTTCATTCTGTGTTTGTGCTGTCCTGTGTCCAGGTAGCGGCCTTGCGACAGGCTGATCCCCGGTCCAAGGGTTCGTACCGATTATGTAAAAGATCAAGAGACTTAAAAAGCGGCCGAAGTTCAGCAAAGGGCTTTACAGCCATAGATAGACAGATAGATGAACCGTAGTATGGTAGCTGGTTACCGAGATATCGTATGAACGTACTTCCTCCATCTTCAGGATGGAATGACATTCTTCTATCCTAAAGTCGCATTCCGGTAAATCGAAATTTCATAGCTACCTTTGCGAGAACAGCTCCCTCGTTTTTTTTTTTTAATTTCCAATAAGCGTTCTTAACTTTTATGCTCTCCACTTAAAAATTTCTGATGATTGTGAAACAATTTTTTATGGATCATTTTACAGTTCCAAGACTGTGCAGGCTGAAGGGACTGAGGCAAGTCATGAAATCCTTAGGATATCCGGCAGAGGAACTGCCCCTCCTCAGTAAAATTCAAGAGCTTCTCTATTACATCAACCGAGTAAGCACGGTGCCCTCCTGTCAAGGAACACTAATGCGAAGTGTCTCAAAATTGAATTCTCACTGTTGATTGAATCTTGGGTTATCTAACCCTTTTAAGCATAAAGGTAACGCTAAGCACCATCTATTTTAATATTGTAGCGTGTACAGCCGTTGCTACGAAATGGTTGCGAGATAGGCGATCTTACAACAATCGGTTCTTAGCAACGCCTCGCTGAACACGTTCCCGCGAAAACGAATGCGTACGCAACAATAGACTTACTGTGGAAACGGGGTGTTATCTGTGTGGTCCTTGCGAATATATTATAAGCAGGGACAGATAGAGCTCAGAGATAAACACTAGATATATCGATTGGGCCCAACTGAGAAGGTTTTATATGAAGTTGGAGACAGAATCCAGTCTTCGAATAGTCATGTTTTGAAATATAAACAGGGCGGTGTTTTAGATAAAAGCAAGACGATGAATAATGTCCAGAAACATAATATTTGTACTGATGTATCAACGTCACAAACTTTTAGATCTTAGGGACTTATTGTAGTTTTCCTTTGTATATTTTTGTTCGTATTAGAATGGTCAAGTCAGGGGGGATGAGATTAGCAGGGTAGAAGAGAATGCATGTAGGATATTGGTGAGAAAACCAGAATGAAAGAGACCACTACGATGAACTATAACTGGGTGCGAGGATAATAATAAAATGGATCATAGAGAGATAGGATGCGGTGATATAGACTGGATTGATCTGGATCAAGACGGGGAAGGCTATTGTGGGCACGGCAATAAACTACCGGGTTCCATAACATTTTGGAAGAACTCAGTTCTATGGAATTAGTTACCTATGTTTTTGGCCGCGCCATAGCTCAAGTGGTTAGTCGCTGGCTTCCCACCGCGGCGGCCCGGGTTCGATCCCGAGTCTGGTCAAGTGGGATTTGTGGTGGACAAAGTGGCGCTGGGGCAGGTTTTCTACGAGTACTTCGGTTTCCCCTGCCAATCTTCATTCCACCAATTGCTCCACAATCACCCTTACCTATCATCTGGGGCTGGTACAATAGGCCAGAAGTGGCCGCAGTACAAGGGACTTCGTCCCACCCCACTAGCAATAAGAAAAAACCTATGTCATTTGTTCATAAAGTAACTAAAGTTTGTCTTTTTGCTCACGTTTTCTGGTGTACTGGATAATAACACGCAGATGGAGCTGGAAACAAAGTAACCACGGAACAAAGGTACGTGAGGTTTCTCTCTGAGATTAGGGAATACATAAAGTTTCACATTCATACGTGACTTTTCGCTCGGAGACTATGATGTCCGTGAAATTTCGTTCTGAGATTAAGAGATATGTGAAGTTTAACTCTTAGAGCAAAGAATGCGTGACGCTTCACTCAAGAGTCCAAGGTGTCCATGAAATATTGTCCTAAGAACAAGAGATACATCATATTTCACCCCGAGACTACGAGGAATATGAGGCGTTATTCGTAGAACAAGGGATATGTGACGATTTGCTCAGATATCAAGGCATCTGTGAGATTTTGCTCTCAGATCAAGAGATACGTAAAGTTTCGCTTTTAGAACAAGGGATAAGTGACTCTTCACTCAGATCAAGACGTCTGTGAGATTTTGTTCTCAGATCAAGAAATACATGAAGTTTCACTTTTAGAAAAAGAGATAAGTGACTCTTCGCTCAGACATCAAGACGTATGTGAGATTTTGCTCTCAGATCAAGAGATACATAAAGTTTCACTTTTAGAACAAGGGATAAGTGACTCTTCGCTCAGATCAAGACGTCTGTGAGATTTTGCTCTCAGATCAAGAAATACATGAAGTTTCACTTTTAGAACAAGGGATAAGTGACTCTTCGCTCAGATCAAGACGTCTGTGAGATTTTGCTCTCAGATCAAGAAATACATGAAGTTTCACTTTTAGAACAAGGGATAAGTGACTCTTCGCTCAGATCAAGACGTCTGTGAGATTTTGCTCTCATATCAAGAAATACACGAAGTTTCAATTTTAGAAAAAGAGATAAGTGACTCTTCGCTCAGACATCAAGACGTATGTGAGATTTTGCTCTCAGATCAAGAGACACATAAAGTTTCAATTTTAGGACAAGGGATAAATGACTCTTCGCTCATAGATTAATATATCAGTCAAATTTCGATCTCAGACCAAGAGAGACACAAAGTTTTACTCTTATAAGAAGGGATAACTTCGCTTCGCTTCTCTCAGAGATCACGTTGTTCGTGAATTCCCCTTCTGCTACCAAGAGATAAGTGAAGTGTCACTATGGGACCAAGAGGTACGTGATATTTCTGTCAGAAACTAAGGTGGCCGTAGAATTCCACTGTAAGGACAGGTGATAGTTCAAGTTTCACTATAAGACGAAGTGATATGTACGTTTGACTCTGATGCCAAATGTTCCGTGAATGCTTGCTCTGGGACCAAATGATATGCCAAATGTTCCGTGAAGGCTTGCTCTGGGACCAAATGATATGCCAAATTTCAACCTGAGACCAGGGAGTAGGTCTGCGTGAAGTTTCACTCTAACACCAAGAAATTTATCGCGTTTCATTCTGAAGCAAAGCTGTTCGTGAAACTTCACTCTGAGACCAAGGTATAGATGAAGTTCAAGCATGAACTGTAGTCCTACTTGAGGTTTCACGTTGAGGCTAAGAGGTATGTGTAATTTCACTCTGAGACCAAAGGATGGTTAAGAATTCGTTTTTAGCTCATTGGATACTGAAGTTTTACTCTGAGACCATGGGATGAGTGATATTTCACTCTGAAATCAAAGGATACATTATTTCAAATTTCGCCGTAAGACGAAACAGTGTGTGGAGTTTCACTCTGATGTCAAGGGTTACTTTAGGTTCACTCAGAAACCGAAGGATACAGCACTCCGCGGGCACGAAATGTAGCAACTGACAATAATTCCTAAACTCTGCCTTAAAAGACGTCTAATTTGATTTTGGGATTTGCTTACCTTGACCACTACTTTCTTGATCTTTGGTGGCAAGCCCTTGAAGTCAGTCTCCCTGGACGGTGCCGGGCCCGGAGGCTCCTCCCGTCTGACCAGTTCCTCCTGTAGAGGAAAGGGCAGGCTCCCTGCGCATGCGAAGTACAGGACGACAAGTACAACGCACAGAAGCCCCATTGCGACGAACGGCTTAGTCACACAACCTGCGAGCAGATACCGCTGTGTCAGCTGCAGAGTGAGACCTTGAGGCTGGGTAGTCAGGAAGGGGGACGCACCCCCCACCAGCTGCGAGCATATCATCACACCATTTTAGATGTTTATATACTTACAGTTACATCAACAACAATTCATAATCAGCCACCGTATTGAGCCCTCCGGCATAATTACACTTATCAACATAGATATTTGTAGGATTTGCGGTTCTCACAGCGGTGGTTAGGAAAGCGACTATCTTCTGTGGTGTAACGCCGTGTAGTCCGTTAAAAGTCAACCGAAGTTTCACTAGGAGGAAAATATCGTCTTCATCTTCAGGGTCGAAGAATAAATATTGTCACATGTTTTCACTCTGGTTCATTGCTCGGCTTATTTCTCGACACTGAAGATGGAGGCGGTGGCGGTGGTGGTGGCAAAAAAAGGTAAAGCTATCCCTGTAATACTCTGTGGAGGCCAATACTGTTGTGAGACGTCGAAGCTCCCAAATTTTCTAGATAATCGGCTCACATATGGCGGTGAGGTTGTCAGCCTTACGCGCCGACCGCCCTTTACTCCCAGGAAGATTCCTGGTACTCATTTCTGTTAGAGGCTCAGGGCCATATTGCGGCTGGAAGGATTATATTCATTGAAAGATCCAATAACCTCATCGGAAATGGAACCCACGACCTTACGGCTTGTAGCAGTAGTAGTAAAAATTCGTATATTTCTATGTGAGCCGTAGGACGCTGCATTAACTACCTGCTTCAATTGTCTGCCTCAGAGAGCAGATCCCATGTTGATGTGTGGAAATTCGCTAAATGGAACAAGGTATTGTGGCCTTTATTACCTTTATTGCCTTTACATTCTCGCCTTCATCACTGTATGGGGGGAGACCTGCATTATGACACGATCTGCTAACCTCGTGAATTTGAAATGTGGTTCATGTTAGTAGGGACTGTGACGACCATAAACTGCATTGTCTGGACCGCGGAACAGAACACTGTGGAGAGAGCTATGTAGACTGAGGGAAAGGAATATTCATAGCTGTGAGAAATAACAAATTTATAGTACAATTCTTTCTGAAGATTACTGTCCGCTGTGATTTGACGCCATACGTGTATAATTTGGTTTCTATGCATTTCCCTTTCCTTCCACCTGCTCTCTTATTTCCACTTCCACTATAAGATCTCCCTTCAGTTTAACATTTTTAATATTATTACATTAAAAAGTAAGTAAAGGTATCCCTGTACAGGGCCGTGGAGGCCCAGAGGGCTGTGAGATGTTGAGGTTCCCATATTTTCTAGACAATCGGCTCATAGATTGAGGTAAGGTTGTCAGCCATACGCTCCAGCCGCCCTTTATCCCCAAGAATATTCCTGGTACTCATTTCTATTAGACGCTGATTCGACCCAGGGCCATAGTAGGCTGGAAAGATCAGGTGAATTGAAAAACAAATCCAATTACCTCATTGGGACTTGAACCCGCGATCTTCTGGCCAACCAACTTCTCTACCAAGGTAAAAAAGGTAAAACTATTCCTGTAACAGGCCGTGGAGGCCCATAGGATTGTGAGACGTCGAGGCTTCCACATTTCCTAGAGTCTAGAAAATGTAGCGGTGAAGTTGTCACCCTTACGCGCTGGCCGCCCTTTACTGCCAGGAAGGTTCCTGGTACTCATTTGTGATAGAGGCTGAGTCGAATACGCGACCATCCGGGTGGTAGCATAGTGCCTCAACCAAGTACTCTACCGCGTGCCCCACAATTATTTCAATATATTATTTTATTCTCACTAGTGGAAACTGGGAATCCTAGTGCGTGACCGACGGTGAACTGGAAATTGTGTAAACCAGCAATAGCGCTGTGTTTACGTGTGATTAAGAGAACTTGTAACCGAGGTGCTAATAAACCCATTCAGCAGAACTAGAACCTGTTATTGTCGTGACGCGAAGCACCCCTACACTTGACAATATTTAAGAATTCAGTTGCGACCTCAATTATAACATTGCGTCTCTCAGAGGTACACTGTTCTGGAATGTTTAATTTTCATCGATAAATTATTGGATGATTTTTTTTTTTTGCTTGGCACTACAGCCCCAGTGGGCCTAGGCCTACCTCCATGAACGTCTCCGTTCACTTCGGTTTTTCTAGATCTTACACATTCGGTAGGACTCCTTGGTCGGGTGATCAGCTCGTCGCAAGGCCTCTACCTGTACACAAACACAGAAAGACGCACACACACAAACTAAACATTCATGCCCTGAGTGCGATTCGAACCCACGATCCCGGATTCCAAGCGAGCGAAGACAGTACATGTCATTGAATGATTTACTACTATCAATTCGAGACCTGTTTCAAACAAATCGACCTATGTGAATTAAGTACCGTATTTACGCATGTATAGGCCGCGTGCGTGTATAGGCCGCAGCACAATTTTCAGAGAGAAATTATAGAAAAAATAATTTTCTTGGAATATTATTTCAGGAGTAGAACATCCTGTATTACTAATTATGAATATAATTTTTTTAAAATGAAGTGTGATTTCGAATATTTCGAATATAAGCCGCACCCCAGTTTCCTCTTGAATTTTTGGCAAAAAATGTGCGGCCTATACATGAATAAATACGGTTATTTAAATTTTAATCTTTATATAATATCATGGAGTATGAAATGTTTCGTTGCATCAGCTTCATCACTGATCCGTCTGTCCTGATAATTATCCTCTCTTCACCGCCATACCCCAGAATGTATATCGCAAGTCTAGTTCATAGCTTTCCACTTTCCATTGCTTCTATTTATAGGTGTTTTTCATCGCCAGGAGCTTCGTGTGCTTTGCTTTCTTTGTTGCAAATCTGTGGTTGTGACGAAATGTAAACTGTCCTGTAAACATTTGTTTTCAAATATTATTTTATCTGTCGAGTGGATTACATACTGATGGCGGTACAATAGCATTTAAATTTTTAATTAATGTCTTCGATATCTTCACGTAACTTAGGAAGATCTTAGGAGCCGGGATAGCTCAGTCGGTATAGCGACTGGCTACGACCTAGACGACAGAGGAGTCGGAGTTCGAGTCCTTGTAGGGTCAAAAATTTCATCTCCACGTTGTCCAAACCTACCCTGGGGCCCACCGAGCGTCCTATCCAATGGGTACCGGGGGTAAAGCCGACGGGGCGTGAAGCCGACCACTCACCTCCAGCTAGTACCGAGGTTAAGAAGATGTGGATCTATAAATCAGCTCCCCCATACGCCTTAATGGCGTAGTTCTTAATTAATTAAGCACGGGGACAACTTTTTAATATAACATTTTGGAAGAGTACTCATAACACAATTCTGGGTCTTTAGATCACCTCTGTTTAATTACCTCGAATGCAATGAGATTTATAGGAGATGAGATAGCTAAGTCGGTATACCGAGGGGCTGTGATCTGGAAAGCAGGGGTTTTATTCCCAGCATTGGCAAGATTTTCTTTTCTCTACAGCGTCGAGACCGGCTATGGGGTCCAGCCAGCCTCCTTTTCAACGGGTACTGAAAGAAATTTCATCGGCGGTAAAGCGGCAGGAGCGTGAAGCTGATCACTAGCCTCAATCTAGTGCTGAATTCAAGAATGTTGGAGCTATACCTCCATTCTCCCGTATGTCTTTCCGACATAGTGGTTAATTAATCAAATTTTTTTCCTTGGCACTAGAGCCCCAGTGGTCCTAGGCCTACCTCCATGAACTTCTCCGTTCACTTCGGTTTTTTCTAGATCTTACACAGACGGTAGGACTCCTTGGGCGGGTGATCAGCTCGTTGCAAGGCCTCTACCTGTACACAAACACAGAAAAACGCACACAAACATCCATGCCCTGAGTGGGATTCGAACCCACGATCCCGGCTTCCGAGCGAGCAAAGACAGTGCATGCCTTAGACCGCTCGGCTACCGTGACCGGCTTGGTTATTCAAATACAGCGACAAATTTACCTTTACCGTGCGAGTTACAGAAGAACTGCATTGAATGTAAAACTTGAGCCTTTTCTGTTTCTGCAACATCTGTTCAAAACTTTTTTCACTCCAGTTAACACTGACGATTAACGTACAATATATGCATACACATCTTCAATTCTGTTTTCGTTGAATTGCCCGATGTAAATAAAAACCGACATAGATCAACACTGTTTCGTACAATTCCCGATTGTGGCATTTTCGAACTCTGTGTACCCATTTTTGGGTTGTTTCATTCTCAGATGGGGACACGCGGTAGTATATTTTGTTGAGGCACTATGCTACAAGCCGGAAGGTCACGGGTTCAAGTCCCGATGAGGTAATTGGATTTTTCTCAATTGACCTAATCCTTCCAGCCGCACTTTGGCCCTGGTGTCGACTCAGCTTCTAACAGAAACGAGTACCAAGAATATTACTGGGGGTAAAGGGCGGCCGGCGCATGAGGCTAACAGCCTTACTGCCATCTATGACCCGATTGTCTAGAAAATGTGGGAGCTTCAGCATCCCACAACCCTATGGGCCTCCACGGCCTTTTACAGGGATAGCTCTACTTTTACCTTACATTCTCAGATGAACAGACGGACGGATGGAGTGATTTTATTGTGTCCTCGGCAGTTACGTAAACGGTCGCCAAATTGTTTTGCCGTCTCTCTTCAATGAGAGGCCGAATGTTGTCTGTATTATGACTTTTTGTGATGTGAGGCTCCGTTACTGAACGTTAAGAAGGCAGGAACTGCTTCCTCCAAAACATGGGTAATTCTCTACCGAACTAGAAGGTATCATTTCAAAGACGACCCTAAATTTCATATTTCCTCTGAGAGAATATCAAATATTTACCCTTTTGCTGTGATCACATCAGCTGTATGCATTGTGCATTTCACGGCAGAGTGAATCTTGAATGTATGAATGAATGAATGTATAAGGGGTGGGCCTTCTAGGCCCTTGCACCGCGACCTACAGTAGTATATTGTGCTTTACAGTGATTGTTAGTTGCTTGCCTACCCTGACAGGGAAACAGGTAAACTACCTCT